AAGGCGATCGAGGGCACGGGAGTGTGCAAAGGGGCGCACCGACCAAAATGTTGAGCGCGTGCCTCAAGGGCGTGTGCTGGCGTTGATGCAGACGACAACGATGGAGGTGAGGCATCTGATACACGGGCGGCATTTTTTTTTTTTTTGTTTTTTTTCTCTTTTTTTTTTTTTTTTTTTTTTTTTTTTTTTTTTTTGTTTTTTTTTTTTTTTTTTTTTTTTTTTGATTTCTAGCACATTGTTTTGCGTTCCTGTTTTCCTTTTCATTTCTTGTGCGGCTGTCCTTTCGTGTTTTTGTTTTTCGTTTCTTGCGTGTCCTTTTGTCCCTGTTTTCCTTTCTCGCCCGGCTGTTGTTTTGTGTGCCCAAAAAGGGAAAATTTTAGTTAAAAGGAAATAAAGATACACTTGCTCGCTTGCCCGCCCGCCCGCCTGCACGCCCACCCATGCACCCACCCACCCACACACACACACACACACACACACATTAATATTAATATTTTGAAGTTCGCTGCTAACTGCTGTAGCTGGGGTTTAAACGCATGGACAGATTTGAGAAACCGAATTGCCTGATGAGATAACCGCTGAGGCAGATTGGGCCCCTGTGTGATTTTGGGGACTTTTTTTTTTAGTGTATCCCGTGTCAGGCAGCGGGCACGTCAGGATGTGTCTGTGTGTCCAAACCCACACCTTGCAAGAGTGTGGAAAACCGGCTGCATGGCAGAAATGGAAAATGTGTAGAATCGCCGCCGTGATGCATTTGGCAGCCAGATACTGTGCCTAAGAAGATCACAACGAAATCACTTTGATTTTTTTATATTTTTTCTTATGTTCTTCTGAGCTAAAAAAATCACGGATGATGCAGGACTTGTTGGGACTTTTCTGTTGGCCAGCACATGGCACAGCAACGAAAATGGAGACGCACGGTGGTAATTTGACAGTCTAAATGATTTTCTAATTCTTTTAAAATATATTTCCTGGAAAAATCACGACCTAATCTACAAGACAACCAATTTGAACGATTTTTAAGGCATTCTTCCGACCGTGAAAAAACACTGAAGTTAGGATACTTTTTCCGTTGGCCCACATCTCGAAGAGTGGCAAAAATGGAAAATGCACCGAATTGGCGCAGGGACCATTTCAGCATCAATTTTTATATATATACTAATAGAAAATAATATATATCATATATAATATAATCTATTGTGACGATATATACATATATATATATACTCCGACGAAACAGTTTGTCACAGCCCCTCGTTTGTTGTCCTCTTCTCTCTCTGCCTACGGTTTACCGGGCAGTTCTGTTTGTGACTATATATATAGGCGTTTGAGACGGGCCAAATGCCCAAACGTACGGGACCCCTTCGGAAGGCATTCGGCCGTTTGGACCGAACGCGGACCAAAACAAAAAACAAAACAAAACAAAAAAAGTTTTCAAACAATTCCGAAAGAAAAATTAACTAAACCAGGGTAACCGGCGTTCAGGACGGGCCGAACGCCCGAACGTGTGGGACCCCTTGGGGATGCGTTCGGGCGTTCGGGCCGAACGCGGACCCAAAAAAAAAAAAAAAAAAAAAAAAAAAAAAAGTCATAAAAAAAATCTGAAAAAAAAAAATGTTATGGATAAAAATAAATTCAACAAGATTTGCCTGAGCATTACATCCGAATTCCTTACCAAATTTGAAATAAAAATAAAATACGGAAAACAAATACTAGTAATAAAAATAAGTAAAAATAAAAAGAGGATTAAATTTACTGAGTGCGCGAGCATGTTTTCGACACCACCATCTTTGGCGATTTTTCATTTGTTTTTGGAATAGCTTGATGCCCTGAAAATTTAGAGATGTGTACTTCACATAATACAAAACCCACTAAAAAAGTTTCAAAAAATAATAAAGTTTTTTAGACCCCGAACTAAAGTGAAAACAAAAACTATAAAGTGAAAACATACGTGGGAGAGCGTTTTGACACCGCCATCTTTGGCGATTTTTCATTCTTATTTGGCTTAGCGAAATGACTTGAAAATTTACAGGCATGTACCTTGCGTCATAGAAAACTCACAAATTTTTTTTTCAGAAAACAATAATTATTTTTAGGCCCTGAAACAATTTTTGGCGGGGGCCGAACGCCGTCGGGTTTGGACCCCGTACGGGACCCCGAACGCTCGTACGCACGGAGGTCTGCTCGGGGACCTCCGTACGTACAGGCTGGTGACCCTGAACTAAACAATATTTGCCTGGGCACTACATCCAAATTCTTCACCAAATTTGAATTAAAAATCAAATACAGAAAATAAACACTATGATAAAAATAAGAAAAAATAAAAAGAGAATTAAAATGAGTGAGTGTGCCAGCACCTTTTCGACACCGCCATCTTTGCCGATTTTTTATTATTTTTTGGCATTGACAAATGCCCTGAACATTTACAGATATGTAGTTTACATAATAACGTTCCTTTTGCGGCTAAAGAAGCCTGGATACGTTCTGTTGAGGCTGGATGGGATTGCGCAATGGTAGGGGGACAAAAAGGACGAGTGAAACCTGAAGGAGCGAATATGATTTCCTACCTGGCAGTTAATCATGTCCTCAGAGATTGGCTAATAAACACATTGCAAAAA